GCTAAGTGAGGATAGGGTTGCGTGGTTTTTCTCTGCATTTTAGGTTCAGGGCTTTCATCCTGTTGAACCTTATTCGTTGAAAAAAAGTGTAAAGATGAAGTCTTATCATTACTTGGTGGTCAGCTTGCGCTGTGTTGTATTTGCTCGGGGTATCATTGACTCGCTCATAAACTCGTGCTCCATCTCGCTAGTTCACGACCAATTCTGGTCAGTCAGAATCAGACTCGTAGCTCACCAGCGCGGTCGGCGCGCTGACAGCCGTGTCGGGTTTGTCCTCAACCAACTCTTCAGGAGGTGGATCCGGGGCACGTTTCCTCTTCAACCCCGGAAGCCGAACCGGGCCTTTTGACGTATCCTTGCTCCCAAACCGTAGGAACGGATCCCTCGCCGCCCTCGTGTTGCCCACAATCTCCGAAACGAGGCTCTCTCGCATCTTCTCGGCGGCCATCTCAGCCTTTGGCTTCCCTTTTGGAGTCGACTTCCCGTGTTTCCCTCGAGTCTTCTCAAACAACGGCCTCGCCAACGCCTTCTCAACATCCCCCTCTTCATCCAACCCCCCAAACTCTACCAGCGCCGCCCTCTTCGCATCCCCCTCGGTCGCCGGAAGCAGTTCAATCCCCAGCCCCATCCTCTCCTTCAGCTCCTCCGTCACCCTCCCCTCCTCTTCCCTCTTTTTCCTCCCCACCCGAAACTCCCTCCTCAGCCTCTGATTCTGCGCATACGGATCCTCCCACCTCCTCTCCGCCTCATCCTGCAACTCGCCAATCCTCTCCCTCCCTTCCACCTCCCTCTCCCGGTCCTCAATCGTCTTCTCCAGCTTCCCAAACGCCGTCTCCCTCCTCTCCGCCCTCTCCCGATTCATCGCATCCAGTATCAACCCCTCCCCCGTCTTCACCAAACTATCCCCCTCATCCCCTACATCTCTTTTCCTTCCCCCCTCGGTCACCGCATACCCCCTATTCTTCGGATCCGTCCGCACCTCGATCCACCCCCCGCAGTCGGCGTGCTTCATCCGAAAGGACCATATCGGTGTGGTGTAGTAACTCCCCGCGCGCTTCTTTTCCGCGTTGAAGCGCACGCCTTGCCCGATGATGGTGGGTTTCGGGCAGGAGGCGCACCACACGGGGAAGGGCATCTCGAAGCGGACGGTGAGGATGCCGGCGGAAGCGAGCTTCGAGGCGCGCGAGCCGAGGGGGTGTTTTTTGTGGAGGGCGTTGCCGGAGAGGAGGCCCTCGGCGGAGGGGGGGACATAGCGTCCCATGTTGAAGCCTTGCATTTTGGTGAGGGGGGGCGTGGCCCGCTGGTTAGGAGGGTGTGACGTGCAGTGGGATGGGAGGTCGCGGGGTGGTTTGCGGTTGCGCGGTGGGATGTTGTGTGTGTTGGTGGTTGTTGAGGATTGTTGCCGCCACGGTGGGTGCACTCGCGGGCGCGCGGTCTAGCTGCTCGAAGCTGACGGCGCTTTGTGTCGACGTGAAACGTCGGGTGTTGAAGTTGACGCGATGCTGAGGACTAAAATGGAGGGGTGACGATGGCCGCGGTACGCACCCCTGTCAGCTGAGACTTTAGTGGGGCACGCACTGCCTTCAGCTGGTCAGCCCTGCCAACTGCCAGCACAAAAAAAATCTTGGATTCAAACTTTCGCCCTCGGCATCCCTCGGCATCTAGAGTTGTTCAGAAGTGCAGGGCACGAGAGCAAAAAGATGGCAATCGCCGAGAATTGAGCCCGACGTGGGGGTCGAACCCACAACCTTGAGATGATCACGTGAAACCATGGAGATGGATCTCATAAGAGTCTCACGCTCTACCGATTGAGCTAGCCGGGCGTGTGCCTGGTTTTTGATGTATGGTTGTGCTGCAGATTTGCCTTTTGTTGTGGGTTCTGCGTGGAAACTTGCAGACTGGCCCGCAGGCAAACCAGAAGGGTGGGTCGTTAGGGTTGGAACCTGCAAGGCGCGGCTGGAAGTGAATAGAGTTCAGGCATCTGATCTTGCCCATCCCCGGGTCGGGCTGGCCAACGGCTCTCATATCAAAAGGAAAGAGCCCCTTTTGCAATGCAAAGAGGTATTGAAGCGAGATATCGATCCCCGCTATCAGAGATACGAAGGACGTCAAGAGGGTAGAGAGGCACGAGCTACATCAGACCCAAGGCTCGTCAAGGGAAAAAGACAAGTCATTTCTTCTCCCACGTAGAAGGTTGTGAAAACTGGAGATTCCCTCGGCTCTGCACTGACCCAGGCCTCCAGATGCAAGACATCTAGGGCTGGGAAGAGCCTCCTCGTCCTCCATTGCCCCCCCGACCTCGACCTCGACCTTGACCCCGTCCACGGCCTCCGCGTGACTCATTTCCTCCGGCTCCACCTCGTGCTGCGCTTTCTGCGTGCCCTCCACGCCCTTCGTTGCCTTGATTGCCTCCCCGGCCACCGCGTCCTGCACTTTCTGCATGCCCTCCGCGGCCTTCATTGTCTTGACCTCCTCCACGACCCCCGCGTCCCCCGCGCCCGCCACGGCCTCCACGCTCTCCCTGACCGCCGCGTCCTTGCCCTCGGCCGCGGCCTCGACCTCCACGGCCTCCCCTACCAGCAGCGGGTGGCTGAGTGGAGCTCTCTCCCGTCTGCGACGGCCCGGCCTCGATCTGCTTCATCAGTTGGGCGTCCTTTTTGCGCTGCGATATGATTTCCTCCACAATCTTCACGGCCCTATCTTGATGGTAAGGGTGCGACGGATTGAGTGACTGAACATTAAAAAAATGCAGCGCATTGCCCCAGATCTCGTTGACGACTTTGAGCTGCTTCTTTGTGAATGCCGACTCGGCATCCGCCATGGCGAAATCGACACCCGGGAACAACTTCTCCATTAGCCGATTACCCCTGGCTCCGTAATTCATGATATCGCCCTCGTCGTCCAGGAAGTCCCGAGTAGTCCGAACACGGTTCGTCGTCGCCGTCGTGAATGCGGCCACAGTACTCACATTCTTCCTCGGGTTCCCAGTCGTCATCATCCTCGTCATCATCGCTACTCTCGCCGTCGACGAGATGCTGCCAGGAAACCTGCTCCTCCTTGATTTCATGTTGGCCCTCAACACCAAAGAATCCCGCCCCTATTTCGTCCAGCACCCATCCTACCCCGTCAACCACACCCTCGGCATCTTTTGCACGCTGCTCCCACGAAAAGAGCTTCCTGCGATGAAGTTGTGACCCAATCGTGGAAGCGCCCCCAGCTCATAATTTTCTCAGACCCTGCCGCCGCTGCTGCAATCGCCTCCTCGGACGTGACTGCCATGGCTTCTTTGTGCAGCTCATCTATTGTCGGACTCGTCGAGCAAATCGGCGTGGGCTTGCCCGCTTCACCCAACGGCCCCGACATGGGCATGCGACCGCGCACGACAGCGCGCGCCAGGACGCGGTCTTCTTCCTTCTCGGGGTCCAAGCCGTAGTCGCTGAACAAGACGTCCTCGCTGCCGTAGTTGGCGTCAACCCACGCCTTCTCAAAGCTTGCCAGCTCCGGCGTGCCAAGCGTCCTCATGGCCTCGGCGATCTCACAAATCACGGGCTTTCCGAGCGTGTGAGAGACCGTCGCGGAAATTCTGAGGGCGGCGAAGGCCGCGTTGAAACGCTCCCGCTCCCACTCCGGCTGCAGTTTACGCCATTTCGGTCTAGGGCGCTGGAGGGCGACGCCGACTGAGGGGTCCGTGATCAAGAGGATCTTGATGTACACCGAGACCACCGGGAACAGCACCTTGTACCACCTACCCATCTTCCACTGGTCCCACGTGGCGCGGACCGAATAAGTCTTGGAGTTGTCGAGCAGCGAGGGACCGAGGCGAAGCCCGGAAAGGTATCCGACGAGTCGCAGCGAGCAGAGGTTCGCGGGTCCCTTTTTGAAATACGCTAGGCGCTTCTCCCCGCGGTCCATGATGACGGCTACCGACTCCCCGTTGCCCGAGTCGGGGCGTATAATGTCATAGTCGCAGGTGCCATGCGGCCCGCCGATGATGTTGCAAATGGCGGTCGGGACGTGCAGCACATTCTGGAGCCGCAGCGTGCCCTGGTTGTTCCGCTTGTTCTTTGGTGGTTTTGGCCATAGCTTGACGGGGAGATCGACCACGCCGATGCCGATAGCTTTTGAGGTAGCCAAAATTGCCGTGTTCTGCGATGGTGTGATAGGGATGGTACTCGGTGAACCATTCGCGGTCTCGCGCGATGTGCACGTTGGAGTGTGGGCTGAGGATCCAGTCGGGGCAGAGGCCTGTCTCGGGTTCTTTCTCAGCGGGTTGCTTCCCGGCGGGTTGTTCCTCAGCGGGTTGCTTCCCTCCATCTTCGGAGGTGGACGCCATTGCTTTTTGTCACGATTTCGATCAAGATGTTGCACCTTCAATTCATGGAAATTGCAAAAACGTAGAAGTTGTTTAGAGGAAGAAGAAGAAGAGAAGCTAGCTGATTGTTAGCGTCAGCGTGAACTGCTCGTAGGGCTTACACTGCAGGGGTTGACGTAGCAGCCACTCAGGGGGTGGAGGATTCCACACTGTTCACCGAAACCATCAAGTTTTAGAACAAAGGGGGAAGCTGACGAAAAGAAATCTCTGGGGTGCCATGAGCTTCTGAAATGTCGAAATGTGAATGGTTTTGCCAACATTCCCATGCTTAATGGCTGTATGTATGCCTGAGATGTGGTGACAGGACGTACCCCTGCCTCAAGCTTGGAGGTCAGCCATGTTGGTGCCACGCTCGGCAGCAACCAACTAGATGTTTCATTCACATAGAGAACGAAGCGGAGAATCCAATGGGAACTGAATTCACATCATGTCTGCGATATTGTCAGTTGGTGTTGTGAGTGTGTGCGTGTAAGTCATCCAATGTTCTTCAACCACTTCGGCATCGGTATCCGCAGAGTCCTTGCGTTTGCACGTTGGAGGGTGCCCCACACCTCCTGCACACGCCAAGCCCCAGCCACTCACACATAAGTGGTAGAATAAAGATCCTTGCTTACAACAATCAAAAAAAGCCCGGCTGGCGCAATGGTAGCGCATCAGACTTCTATTGATCTTAGATCACGTGATCTAAATAGTAAAGAATAGGTATCCATCTTTTGAATCAGGACAGTGGCAGATGGTGGGTGCCGTGAAGTGTTGTGATGCTCTGAGGGATCCAGGATTGTGTGGGGGTGGGCGGATCTTCCCAGGACCCAGGTGTCCCACCCGGGCAGCCGGGTCAGCGCCAATGCGCCCCACCCCACCTGGGCAACTCCATCCCTTGCCGCAACCCACACTTCGACCGTTGCCGCTCTTCAGCTTGAATCACTTGTAGGCCTTGTTTTTATAATCACGGGCAAGGAAACGATCTCGCCCATGCCGTCTTGCCCTTGCAAACCGCAGTTCTGCCTCTCCTCGACACCCGCGAGCTCAAGCCTGAAGCAGTGCTGATGAATGAACATGGGGTTACACATAGGCAGCGATAAAGGAAGTAATCTGAGATCTCAAAATCGTTCCACGAAAAAATTATTTTGACACGCCAATAACCTGACGTTTGTGAAAGAGTCCAAGGTGACCAGCAGGGTGCCCGTCTTGCTCAACAACTCATCAACCGCGCTGCGGCGTCGTCTCAACTCGCGAACTTGGTGTCGGCAAGAAAGTAATATGTGCAAGACCATGTTTCATTTGTGGCGTGGAGCCTGAAAAGGAAGGCCATCTCTTGTTGCTCAAGCAGCGCCCACACCCTCTTACTCCTTCTCCTGCTTCTAGATGATTAGGTTGGTGGAACTTGAACCCTTGATAAAACGAAGAAGTTTGAGATAACTTCCGACATCGCCGCTTTGCGGCCTCTCTGGCCTTGCGTCTCTTCTAAGAACACGTTAGCCATGAAAGTTAATTAGGAGTCAGGTATACTTACGGCGCTTCGACTGGGTCCCTGTTGAGCGAACGCAATTGTTGGGAGAGTTCAGTCGATATTGCCAAAGCTGACTTGGAAGGAACCCAACGTATATAGTGGCCTTTGCCACCACCACTGCCCGAGGAGCTCTAGTGCCAGGGGACGCCGCTAGACCGATAGGTATTCCTGGAAGAGACAATCCCTATTAGCCGCCTCCCACCTGTTGCTGCCGCTGCTGCCGCCCCTCGCCTGATGAACTCTACGACCAGGAGATGCCGCCCGGCCCGTCGCTGCCACCACCACCCCCGGAGGAGCTCCACGACCATGACGCCCCGGCGGGACCAATAGGTATTGCCGGAAGAGACACTTCCTATCCGCTACCTCCCCTCGACGCACTCCACGGCCGAGACACGCCGCCAGCTTCGAATTTGAAGGCCGGTTCTGTCATAGCGTGTGAGCAGTAGTAGGTCAGAATAGGATCATATGGGCAAAGAACTTACGTAGTCATAATAGGCCGGGGAAATGTCGGATGCCGTTATAATTTTTGGCTGATCTACAACAGGGTCATGTCAAAACTCTGCCAGAATAAACGGAGGGTGGCAGGGCAAGAGAACTCACCTGAACGAGTATCGGTACGGTGCAACTCATCGAAGTCCGGAGGGCGACACATCAGTGGCATGGCGAGCTTGAAGAAGAAAAGGGGGAGAAGCGAGGTTGCGGAAACTTTCGAAAGAGATGGGTAGCACCCACGCGCCGACGTGGTTCGCAGGCAGCGGGGTTCGGAGGGAATACAGACAGTCGGATGATGAGTAGAGGGGAGAGCTAGAAATGCGACGAATCTGATATTGAGTAAGGTGGCGTTTTTTTGTGATGTGCTTGTTGAAGCAAGAAAGCCAGCAAGGCAGCAGAATATTTCAGGTGGGTTTGCAGAATGAGGAAGCAGCCAAAATTTTCTGCAAAAGTGGGCAGGCCGGAGGGCAGTTGCACAACGAGGAAAGAGCTGGGACACTCCGAGGACTCTGCGATGTGAACCTCAACCATGGTCATGTCTCACAAAAATCCGATTCATCGAAAGCTCGTCGAGGCCATCTTTCTTGGGCCAAAGATCACACACAAACATTGGCAGTCAGGGCACATTGTCACAGGTGAGAAACGTATCTCGTGGGAAAAGGTCGTCAATCTCAATTGTGCCACTGAGTACCTACCTAGCAGAACCGATATAACTGCGTTGCGTGGCGATGGGACAACTTTGATCTACCGCTGGCCCTTGTCAGCTGGTCTTCAGTTGGACGCTTTTGACCAGCTGTCGCGTCCACCGGTCTGGTGTCAACCGGCGGCGGCAGGTATTCCATGATCTCGAGGTTATGCCGTGCCTGGGTTAGACGATAGATCCTGGCACCAAGCTGTTAAGAGACAGCATTTTCGTCATAGAGATAACCAAGGTGCCTTAGCGGGAATATAAGGCATCCTGTAAGCCAGGTAAGGGACTTTAAGCCATATAAGGGAATGTAAAGCCTGTGAGGTGTTAGTGGTTAGGTTTAGTAAATTACAGTAATTACAGGGCATTTACATTAATAATCTAGCATATAAAGCTAACATGTTTAATACGTATAGCCCGTTAATTATTATAACTAAATCAGTTATTAATATTATAAAGTAATAAAAAGGTGTAATAATTAGGTTAATAGTATTTAATAAGTTATAAGGGTTGTGACGAAGACCTAGTATATATACGCACTAGCCGAGATAGCAAGACAGACTTGTTATTTCGGCACACCTTTTGGTAGGTTGGCGCAGTGTGAGTGCGTATACACTGTGACAATCGTCACAAAGTCTAAAATATTATTTATTAGAAGAAAGTGTATTGAAATTATTATAAATAAAGGGAAATTTAATTTCCTTAACGTTAAGGTTTTAACTTATATATATACTTAAACTGTTGGCTAGAAAAGCCAGTGCGCAGTGCCAAGGCACTAAGTCGAGCCTGAAACACTATAGTGTGTTCTAGCAGATTCCAGTGGTTTCTACGCCTACGAGCTTACGTCACCAAAGCGTAAGACGGCCTAATAATTACTCCGACTCGGCCAACTATAATAATAGGCTTTCCACCACTCCTTAGGTAGAATAAGTAAGGAGAATAATAACAACGAGCTTCCTACCACTCTTTCATCATGTGACCTCGCAACAACTAACCACACCTGGCTTACAGTACCCCACAGGCTTTATAGCCCTCCCTATAGGCCCGTTAAGGTGGGGAGGGCGGAAATGATGACCATAGTACTTGTCGGGAATAAGAGTCAAAATATTCGAGCCGGAACTCAGGCAGCTGGCTGGCCGACGAGGACTTGGTTCATCCGACAGTTCTGTCTCTGGGGGAGCGGCTGAGCATGAGAGCTCACAGTTGGTCTTCCAGCGCCTGCCATTGCTGTCAGCTTGGAGAGGAAACCAACCTGGTAGGGTGGCCGCAGCACGAGGCCCCCTTTAATGCTGTTCTGATGCAGCTGCGAATCCGTCCTGGGGAGGTTCCTATCGCTTCACCATCGGTTAGGGCCCTGTTGGGGAGGGGAGGCCGCTCTAATCTCGCAAAGTAAAAAGCGCAAGATGCGTCATCCCCATCTAAACTGGATATTAAGCTTCTCGATGCATGATGGTGTGTCCACATCCTGTCGAACACAGCTGCCAGCGCTGGGGTAAGAGGAGTACGGTCGAGAGCGGTACCGGTGGACCGTCGAACCGGGCTTTCGTCTTCTCCCAGCTCTTCTCCTTCGGCGAGGTAGGGAAGGTGGAGCACACCAGTGAGAATTAGGGTTACTGAACCAAGTAGTTCGGGCCAGCTGGGGAAATCAGATAGCCCTGCTCGATGAGCCGGAGCGGGATGGTTTGTGATGTCGACTGACGGCCCTGATGTCGTCCAGAAGCACATGCTGCCCAAACACTTGTGGATGGTGTCTGGCATCAGTGTCAAACCCATGGCCATGTTCAATTCGGTTAGTTTGGATGTAAGCTAGGGGTTGACTTGTCTCGGAGTCTTCTCAGTTAGATGTTTGGCTCTGGGTGGGCAAGACAGGAGGCTGGGTGTAACGTTTCCATTTCCCGATCAAGTGGTGTCCTCTTAGCGCAGTTGTAGGAGAGGCTTGATAAATCCAGAAAGACTCAATCCGAGATCGAGATTTGGACTGCTCGAGAACGCTGACCCTCCGACCGTTGTGCTTCCTGGAAAGGTCGTCGGTGACAATGATCCAGGCTGCAGCGCTGCATGTGACGAAACTGCGAAACCTCAGGTTGGCTTCGTTATCAAGCAGAGAATTGTGTACGTGGAATTGTGGAGCGAGAGCAACTGCTTTGCGATAGTTGCATGTGGTCAGTGGTGAAGGAGATCACGCTAAGAAGTCTGCTGCACATGGAGCGACATGGACTGGGGCTGACACTGGGGCTGACCCAAGCGTGCGGGCTGGCGCACAAACCATGTGGGGCCGCACAGGCCACGCACCCCACTTAGTGCTCCTGGTGCCAGCCAGCCGGCGCTGCGATGAGAATGCCCGCTGGGAAATTGAAGATATCTTCAAAAACAATGTTTCCTGGACGAAAACACTCGGGATAAATCAAATAAAAATGTTACAATGCAAAAAAGAATGCACCCTACGTGGGACTCGAACCCACACCCGCCAGATAGATTGCGCAATCTAAACGATTGTAGAAGTCTGGCGCGCTACCATTGCGCCAGCAGGGCTTTTGTGATTTGTTGAAAGCAGGGGTCTTTATGCGGTTTCATCAATGCCAAAGCGCCAAGGTGGGGGCTAGGGCTTGGCTCATGCACCGTGAAGCGCTTGCCACACTCTGAATCACCACCAGCCAATCCACCCAGGTATCAAGGTAAGATTGCTGAGAGCTACACCGTCTCCTCCCTACCACTTCGGTAAGGTACCTGGTAGGTACAATAAGGAACTTCATAGGGCTAGAGAACCCTATGTGAAATTTAGACTCCAAACTGGATGGGAATCGTGTCAGCTTGCCACAACAATGAAGATGTCTCACCTGAGTGTCAGATTGGCACAAAAGCGGTAAAATCAGGGGTAAGGTAAACACCCAGGGAGCGCCATGTAGCCTCCTTTCTCAACCCCTTCACAGACAAAGTCCTCAATGGCAACTTATCTGCCTTTGTCATGTCCAAATGCAGACACAACGCCAAGTGATCATGGCGCCCGGCGAAATCACGGCTTTGCCATCTCCCAGGTCAGAGAGGGTTCCAGTCATAGAGGTTTGAAGAGGCTTAGTTTCAGGAAATCTTCGATAAGGTCTATACAGTCCGGATCAAGTAAAGGTCTGGACATAAAAACGTGGACACCCTTGGAACGGGCACCTGTGGTGACAGCAGCGCACATGAAAACGCAAACGCCCCCCTTGTTGTCGACCGCAATCAGGGGCACGCCAGGCTGTTGTTGACGGCAGGATGATGCACCGTCCAGCAAGTTGATAACATGGGACCCCCGGGCCGGGCCATAAAATAGCACTTCCACGAGGTTAGAACAACCCAACGTACTGTTTGATCCGTGCCGGGCCACGTCGCCAAAAAAAAAAAAAGAGTGCAGGCTTTCGAGGCTCCACGGGCTCGCCCGGGTTGCAGGTGCTACCCATTGTAGTTGTAGTGGATCGTACCCTGGATTACAGTGCGTAAAGCCGCCCGAGGGAAGCCGTGTAACCCCCTTCCCGTAGCGCTCTGCTTCGAGAACCCTCAGCAGCCTCGATCTTCTTCCCGAGCCGGTTCGACTTGAGGTGAGCCATCCGCTGCTGGTTGGACCGTCAGCTCAGTTCGTCGGCAGCCATGCTTTCATTCTCTTTTCCAGCGGTCGGACTCTAATTTCATTCGCGCGCATATGACGACGGGGGTCGTCGCCTGCCCCTCCCCAAGCTCTCCTTCCGCCCTGAATTGCGCACCTCGATGCGCCGCCCATTTGATCTCATTGCAATTCCAAATCGCTCTATGAACCTACCTAGGCACCCGGCGCCTGGGCACAGTTTCGCACCGCTTGCCAAAAGGCGGCGGCAAGGTGGATAGAGCTGCGAAAGACCAGACCCGCTCGCTGCTGAGCGAGGAAAGACCGTCCGCATTTAAACTGGTCTTGACTGACAGACTCACAGATTTATCGAATGCAACAGGCCGAAGGCGGACCTAAACGTGATGCCCGGGGGCCTGCACAAGGAACTGGCGATCGGTTTCGTCGCAACAACTAGCGTCTGACCAACCAGATGCGGAGGCTTACACCGCTGCCAAGGGCTCCGAGAGGGTCAACCGTCGAGGACAACCTGCTTCTCAAAGAGCCTCGTTGCTGATCGTTTGATCCACGCACCGCAGTGTATCACGAATTACAATCTCTCTCTCCCATGCAGCTCCGATCAAAGCGCCCTCGACCTCGGTGGGACAAGAGGATCCTCTTGACAGGTCGGTAGGCCCCACCCGCGGATACCGCGCCGTGCCAAGCCGGGGCGCCCGAGCCCGGAGCTAACACTCAAGAAGCCGGAGCAATAGATGCGGATCGTCAAAAGCCCATACAGAGTACCGGAGAGCCCTGCACCTTGTCTCGCCACGGCATAAACCGGGACTGGCCCGGATGAGCCTATCTTTGGCTTGGCGCTCCCACTGTCAGCCACAAGGGAATAGATCATTGCCAGCATCACCGCTGAGGATTGGGAATATACACATCTCCAGGAACGGACCAAGCGCTAACCTTAGGAGGCACTGTTTTCTTTAGTGCGTTCAGCTTGTATGAGGGGACATCGGGAAGACGAACGGTTCACGTGGGTTTGCTCTTTGGTTTCCAGCCGTCCGGCTTTGTCTGAACGGCTTCCTCCTTGTATAACACGCCCTTCTCCATGTATCGTAACATACCATGTAGTCACTTAGTCCTAGCTCCCATCTTCGAATCCGCTTCTGATCTCCTGTCAGAACCCCCGAGTCTTGGCATCGTAAAAGCATGATTTCTGCATCTGAAGTGCCACTTTCTGCTGCTCTAATGGATCGCTTCTTGACTAAAAGGCCCTTATTCACTTGAAACAAAATTCTCATTGGGTTTCGCATCTGATCGACTCCCGGCACAACACTATCGGAGGCTGTATCTTAATGCCACGTCACATACCGCCCGTTGGCAACTTCGTGCCTTGCCTATAAACAGAGGTGATCTCTCCAGTCACATGACTCCCAGCATCACCACTTCAAGGGCTAAATCTCAATTTATAGATATCTCAAGAAAATTCTAAGCTACTGTCTTCAACTCCTATGTCATGTACTACTCTTAATTTACGCATAAGCGGCCTGGGTTCAGGTACGATAAACGAGGCACCAGCCAGCACCGTCTCACCCCTCCCGGCCCTCTCGCTTTTGCCAGATACAGACGCCATAAATATTTGATTGCAAGACACAAATGTAAGTTTAGCGAGCTAGTATTACATAAAGTGGGCAAGAGTAGCACGTTCTACCCGCGTTTCCTCAACGTTTTGGTCAAGAGCTTCCATAAATTCATACCTCCCTTCTTCTGCAAAGGCCTGCTGCCAGCACTTCCAAGGCGTTTATAGTACCTAGTAAGTACAAAGATCCATAGGTACAGCAATCTCCCCAACAAAAACATGGTTAGAGGCATTAGGTGATGCCTTTCTGGCGTCTAACCGAGGAAGGCATGTGATGACGGGGTTAATATGTACTAGACACTGGCTCTGCGTAGGTTCTTCACCCTTGTTAGAGAGCACTCTACCTCCACCCACACCACCTGAAAACTCCTGATCTCAGATCAAGTCGAGATCGTACAGAGATAGAAACCACAGTGGTAATTCCACTCTCCCAGTCCTCTCTGGAGCGACACAGCCAGCTGAACATGAGAACTGGGAGATACGCGTCGAGGAGGAAGGAGCAGCAAGCCGGAATTCTCCGTGCCTTATCTCTTGCTCCTTCCCGCTCTTTCCTTCCAAGTAAAAACGCGTCCAGCTGAAAAATTTGCTAGCTGAAGCAGGGCTGAAGGGGAAGGAGCAAATTGGGAAGGAGCAGCAGTAGGAGCAGCAGTGGGAGAGAGCAGATATGTGCTCGTCGTCTTGCCTGAGATCTGCTCTTCTTCTTCACCATTGCAAGTCAAGCTTCACGTTCGTCCACCACTGTGCTAGAGCTATCGATCCATTCGTCTCGATTTCTCACTATTATCAGCTTAAATTCTCGAACGTATACATTCTGCGATTATCATCATCATCGCCAAAATGCCTTCAAGCTTGATCACCTCTTTCTTCAAGCCACTCTCTGCCTCAGCTGGTAACGATGGCATCCACGCAGAGAAAAACACCACCGCTACGGCCGCCGTGAAGAGAGAAGACGCCGTGAAGATCGAAGACGCCGTGGAGACCGAAGACGCTGTGAATAGAGAAGACGCCGTGAAGACCAAAGACTCCGTGAAGACCAAAGACGCCGTGAAAACCGAAGACACCGCTGAGACGATCGACCTTAATATCCCGGATGTCAAGAGATGGATTGTGGAGGTGTTGGCCGAGCGAGTTGCAAGATGGCTTCTTCCACCATGAAGATGGCATCCAACGGGATGTTTCAAGCGAAGATTGCACCGAACAGTGCGCTTCCAGCGACATGAGGTTTGCACTAATCGTGCGCTTCAGGTGCTCGATCACATATGCCTTGTGATTGAGCCTCTCCTGTGGCACAGAGCGGCAAGGGGCTGTGCTCGGGGGGGCGTCTACGTTTTCATGTATAGAGTTTGTTTGTATTTGTGTGGGGGTGTCTGCGTTTTCAAGGATGGGGAGTACTGATATGGAGGCGTCTGTGTTTTCGTGGACGGTGTGTGCTGAGATGGAGGTGTCTGCGTTTTCATCTTTGCGGTTGTCGTTTGGCGTTGTTGGCAGAGCTTCTGCGTCTTCATATGTGTTGCCGTCGGAGCGCCTTCCTTTTCACGTGTGCTGGTGTCGGGGCCATCGTGTTAGCGACGGAGCGTTGATTTCTCGAACAGAACTCAACTTCCTTAAGTTTTCCTTCTTCCTTCCTCCAACCAACTCACACTCAACTTCCTCAAGTTTCTTTTCCTTCTTCCTCCAACCAACCCGCAACTCCTTCAGCGAAGGCTGCTAACGGCCCCCTTTGATGCCCGATTATACTTCACGGCGCTGACGACTCCTTCCGTTGGAGCGAAAGCTGGCAACGGCGCGCTTGATTCGTACCTCACGGTGCGCGACTCCTCCCAAACGAGCTGGCAACGGCGCGCTTCTGAGTTCGTACCTCACGGTGCGCCACTCTTCCCAAGCGAGCTGGCAACGGCGAGCTTGATTCGTACCTTGCGGTGCGATTCTGGCTTCGTACCTCACGGTGCGATTCTGGCTTCGTACCTCACGGTGCGATTCTGAGTTTGTGCCTCGCGGTGCGATTCTGAGTTTGTGCCTCGCGGTGCGATTCTGACTTCGTGCCTCGCGGTGCGATTCTTCCCAAGCGAATAGCTGGAGACGGCCCGTTTTTGAGGTTCGATGAAGGCCGGCAACGGCGCGATCGAACCCTGGAGTGTGAGTTGGCCCTCAGTCTTGCAAAGGTGACACACAGTGAAGCCTGAACCGGCATCACGATCAGATCAAAACTCCGCCGCCGATAGAGGCCACCGCTTGGTGCGTTCTTCTTGATCAATAGGAGGACATCTCAGATTGCTCGGCTCTTGATGTTATGAAAACATCCTGCTGCAAATATGTGGCAGGAGAGAT